TTTCTTTCTTTCTTTCTTCCTTTCTTTCTCTTTGTCTTTCTCTCTGTGTGTGAGTCTGTGTGTGTGTGTGTGTGTGTCAGTGGTGGGTTTCATTAAATTTTGGAACCTCTTCTGTAGGTGTGGCCTGCTTTCCGGGTCCACTGGTGGAACCTCTTCTAACCGGTTTGGTAGATTTGACGAACCGGTTCTACCGAACTGGTGCTAACTGGTAGGAACCCACCTCTGGTTATGACAGCAAGAGGGACAGAATAACAGAATAAGGAGGTCTTCTACTCCAACCCACTGTTCAAGCAGGAGACCCTATGCCATTTCAGACAAATGGCTGTCCAATCTCTTCTTAAAAACCTCCAGTGATGGAACACCCACAACTTCTGAAGCTTAGACTTAGACTAACTTTATTATCATTTCAAATGTACGCTAATTGGCATACATTAAAAGGAGATTTCATTGCATACAGCTCTCAAAGGGTCACCACCTCCAATATACACTACATAAACATGACTAAATAAATAAACAAATACAAAAGGATGCCTATATCCACATATATATCCACATGACACAGAGAATCAACACGGTCTAGTTCGGATGCATACATGTAGATGGCGAGAAAAACTAATCTTGCGAGTTTACCAGACAGACGGCATAATGAACAAAGCTTTTACAGAATCTGACAGAAATACTCCGAAACCTCCTTCCATAGAGGAGCAACAAAAAAAGATCGTGAAGTGGGTGCACCATTAAACTATCTTTCCAAGCAGCCTCCATGTTTCCAGTGTCTTTTTCCCCACTTGGAACTGAAGCCAGAAGGACATTTCTTCCTTGCTTCAAAATTGTGTTCACATATCCTGTCTATATTCAACGATTTGTGTGAGTGTGCTTGTAGGTCGTACATCCATTTGCAGGTTTAATTCTGCAAACCAAGGAAAGCCACTTTTAAACTCTTATTCTATTTACTGCTTTCGAACATGTTGCTGTTCAAAGTCATCGTGCCAATTAAGACAGCTTCCAGAATATTTAAAACATATTTGTGAAACATTCTCTTTCTTGGCATAACCACGTATTTCAACATACTTCAGTAGAAACCACGTTTACTATTTACAATCTCTCTGATCTGTATCCTGTTATCCATCTCTGCTTGATATAATCAGTTGCAATATGTATTTTAGCTGTTTTGCTACTGGCAACATCCACATTCAAAATCAAGAATGGTTTAAGCATGCCAGTTCTGAAAATAAACCTAATACCTTAAAATGCTGGTGTTTTTTTCCCCCCCAATTTGGCAACTTGAAGATGTGTGGACTTCAACTCCCACAATTCCCCAGCCAATGTATAATTGTAATTATTTTTCATTGATTTTATGGTTGCTTACTGCCCAGAATAACTGGTTTGAAATGGGTGGCTACACAAACGGAATGCATAAATAAATGAAAATTATAGTAACACATGGTTTGCTTAGCCCTCTTTTAAGGAATGCGCTGCAGTGGGCTGCTGAGATGGACTTCTAAATTGTAAAACAACATATAACGTGGGACAGTGGTGAAATTCAGTATTTTGTTTACTACCAGTTCTGTGAGAGTGGCTTGGTGGGTGTGGCAAGGGAAGGATACTGCGAAATCTCTATTCCCATCCCACTCTGGGGACAGCCAGAGGTAGCATTTGCCGGTTCTCCAAACTACTCAAAATTTCCGTTACCAGTTCTCTGAACTACTTAAAATTTCCGCTGCCAGTTCTCCGAACTACTCAAAATTTCCCCTACCGGTTCTCCGAACAACTCATACTTTCTGTTACTGGTTCTCCAAACTACTCAAAATTTCTGTTACCGGTTCTCTGAACTACTTAAAATTTCCGCTACCGGTTCTCCGAACTACTCAACTTGCCTCTAGAAGTTGTGAATGCCCCAACAGTGGAAGTTTTAAGACGATGTTGGATAGCCATTTGTCTGAAACGGTATAGGGTTTCCTGCCTAGGCAGGGGGTTGGACTAGAAGACCTCCAAGGTCCCTTCCAACTCTGCTATTGTATTGTAAATCCATTTCATACAGATGTTCTAAAATGCTGTTTAGTCAACATTGTATCTCCCTTCCCATATGCGAAACCAAAAAGAAAATTGTTCATTAAACCTGTGAGTTAAAAAACAAATTACAGTACCTGGAGTATTAAATTCAGGGTGTCAATTATTTACAGCCAACTATGGCTGAATATTCAGTTTGGGTTAAAGCTCCTATTTTAGCAAACCTTCTCTTCTGTGTTTTTTACAGATCGGGTAAGTGAGATAGTAATCAAGGCTTTGTTCATGAAACATCTAATGAATCCAGCTTCTGGACCGCAGAAGTATCCTGGCAGGAAATACCATCTCGTTAATGACAATAGCCAATTCTTCTGAAAACCCGGACACAATTGGCTAAAAAAAACCAATGTGTTCACGTAAAAAGAAGCTAGGATAGGTTGGCCGTTGAATAACACACAAACACACAAAGGTCATTGAGGCAACAGACAATCAACCCCCCTTCCCTCCCCCAGGATGATCAACCTGCCCACGCTGCTCTATTTCAGTTTCTGTTAGTCATCCTTTAATTGATAGGCAAGGGAGTTTGATAGTTAACGGTTCCACTTCCTCTTCAAAGGATTACGTCTCCTTGAATGGGCAAAGCCACAGATAAACTAACGAAAAGGTCAAAATAATAATAAAGAAGTGGAAGGAAGAGACCGAGGGGCAAACAAACAGCGTGCGGGGGCCGACAGCCCAAAAAGACAATGCAATCCTAAATTGCATTGTTGGAAGAAATGTCCATCTGGATTTAGTTCCAAGTGGGGGGAAAAGACACTGGAAACATGGAGGCCGCTTGGAAAGATGGTTTTAATGGTGGACAGGATCGTATGGTTTGAGCTCCTGAACAGAAAAGGGAGATCACACATGCTTCCAGATGTTGGGTGAAGAAGAAAAAAAGAGACAGAGATACTGAAAGTCCCTGGTTTTATGCCCTCTCTGGCCTTTGATCTTGAGCTTGCATTCTGATTGGTTATCAGACTCCCAGGGGGCCATGCAGCGACAACTCTGTAAACTGTGTGTTTGGTTGAGCATTGCTTCTTCCCAGGGGTGAGATGGGTAAAGGGCTAATACTATCGTGTCTTAATCCCATCACCCTGGAGCTGAAGGGGGAGGTCTTTGTTATGCAGAATAGACTAGCTCAGGCCTTTTAATGGCCCATTGACAAAGGTGGGGGCTATTACCAGTGAGTCTCTTTCTTGCTTAAAAACATGTTTCTCCATTTCTGATCCAGGGAAATATAATATTCTGCCCCTTCAATACTTCCCAGGATAGTTCATTTTTTTTCTAGGAGAGGGGGTGGGTTTTAACTTCCTACAGCATTAACAGATTCCTACAGCATTAACAGCTGTTGATTAATTTCCAGCCCCACTTGATGGAATGGATGTTGTATTGATTTTAATTTTGTATTTTTAAATATTTTAAGTGCTTTTACTTGTTGTGAGCCGCCCAGAGTCCCTAGGGAGTGGGCAGCATACAAATCCTATTAAAGTTTAAAGTTTAAAAGAGGGATACAATCACGATCAAGGGAGGTACTAATACTACTCTATAAAGCCTTAGTAAGACCACACCTAGAGAATGGCATCTAGTTTTGGTCACCACACTAAAACAATGATGTTGAGACTCTAGAAAGAGTGTAGAAAAGAGCAACCAGGATGATGAAGGGACTGGAGGCTAAAACATACGATGAATGGTTGCAGGAACTGGGCGTGGCTGGTCTAGTGAAGAGAAGGGAAGACATGATAGCAGTCTTCCAATAGCTGAGAGGTTGCTACAGAGAGGAGGAGGTTTAGCTATTTTCCAAAGCACCTGAAGGCCAGACAAGGAATAATGGATGGAAACTGAACAAGGAGAGATTCAAGCTGGAAATAAGGAGACATTTTCTAACAGTGAGAACACTCAACCAATGGAACAGAAGTTGCCTCCAGAAGTTGTGGGAGCTTCATCACTGGAAGCTTTCAAGAAGAGACTGGACTGCTATCCGACAAAAATGGTGTAGGGTCTCCTGCTTGAGCAGGGGGTTGGACTAGATGACCTACAAGGTCCCTTCCAGCCAGTGGTGGGTTTCAAAAATTGTTCGAACCTACTCTGTGGGTGTGGCCTCCTTTGTGGTAGTGGCTTGCCGCCCACATGACCGGATGGGAGTGGCTTGCCGCCCACATGACCGGATGGGAGTGGCTTGCTGTACATGTGACCGGATATGAAGATGCCGACGACACTTGTCAGAACCACCTGCTCANATTCAGAGTCAGACGCCCCAATACTTGGCAAGAATGCAGGAATGAACTAATTGTCTCCTGCAAACTCCACTCCCCTTTGGCTCCTCTTATTTCCTATGGGAGGGGCCATTCACCATCCACTGGCCTTACTCCCAAGTCGGCCCTTGTTCCTTAGCTGTTCCCTTCGTCTGGCAACTCTGCGCATGCAGACACAGGGAACAGGCTCCAGCTGTTTGTCTGCCTCACTGATGTCTGACTCTGAATGCAGCTAACAACTGACAGACAGCCCCCTCTCTGCCTCCGACACAGAGCCCTCATCAGAGCCTTCTCCAGACTCCAGGACTGGCCCATGTCCCTCCCCAACCTCCTCATTGTCCAAATCTACTGCCAACTCCGCTGGCCGCTGGTGAGCCACAACTGTCTGCTCCCAAGAATTTGAATTTTGATTGTATGACTATGGGGATGTTGCAATGGTCGTAAGTGTGAAAAGCAGTCCTAAATAAGTCATGATTTGATCAGTGCTGTTGTAACTTCGAATAGTCACTAAAGGAACTGTTGTAAGTTGAGGACTACCTGTATGGAATTTTTAAAGGAAACTGATTTGAGCCTTTCTGATTTAGTGGCCGCAACAGCAGAATTCCCCCCCCCCGCTTCAAAGAAAACAACTTGACTCTGATCTTGAAATCGTGGGGAATTGAGCTAGGCTTGAGGCCTTAAGATCGCATATCCTCCTACCCACTGATGATTGTGTAGAATACCACTTTGCTTTTGACAATTGTAAAAAACGAGATATGCTACTAATATCAATCAGAATAGAGCCGGAAGGGACCTTGGAGGTCTTCTAGTCCAACCCTCTGCTCAAACAAGAGATTCTATATCACTTCCACCTCCACTGATGAAGCACCCACAACTTCGGGAGGCAAACCATTCCCCCGGTTAATTGCCCTCACTGTCAGGAAGTTTATAATCATCTCTTTTTAATAACCCTCTTTTTAATGATCCTTGCGGGGTGGAGTCTGGTCAACTGAAAGGAGCTGAGTATTTACTGGCCGGATGTCCTTCCTGTCACCAATACAGAGTTATATTCAGCAAATACATTCTCAACGTGGCCAGAGAGAGAAATATCTGCCACTACCTAGGATCGAACTCATAGCCTCCTGATTGTGAGGTGAGGGCTCCACCTCTAGGCCACCGCACCACTCATCAGGGAGTTTATAATGAATGAAGAATAGCCTTCATTGGATAAGATTTTGGCCATGTTGGTAGGTATTAGGTGGCCGACCTTTGCTTCTTTGGGGGGAAAAAATGGCTGCTCTTGAAACTGCTGTAAAATTTGGTTAAGCTACCAATCTCCACTCTTTGATTTCTCTCCCCAGGGTTTATCTGAACCTCGAAAACTGATCCTGGTGGCTGGTTGGAGCAGGTATCCCCTTTTCTTTGGCACAGCTATTTTTGCATTTGAAGGAATAGGAGTGGTGAGTATTTACGCTGGGGTTAACAACCTGCCAAAGTCCTCAGATTCAAACATGTTTTTCTTTTCCCTTTATTGCTCTGCAATGCATTCTATAAACACCTGATTCCTACTGTTAGGGCTATCCTGATGAAAGTGGGTGGGAAGTCACCAAGTTCCGAAAAGGGAGTGTTTGCTCGTCTGGCCCACAACCCGGAAGAGAAGCTTCCCAGGGCACATGCGCGTGCCCAAAAACTTCCGGTTTCCAGCATGTGCATGCGCACCAGCCAGCTAGTCTTCCAGTTACTGGCATGCATGCACCTGTGACGATCAACTGGCCGGCATGCATGCTCACGCAGGAAAATGGAAGACCAGTTCTTCCAGTTTCCGGGGCTGCCACACGCACGAAGGCCAGCTGACCGTCCCAAGCGCATGTGTGCCAGAAACCCGGAAGAAGAATGGATGACGCCAGTGGTGGGATTCAGCCAGTTCGCACCTATTCGGGAGAACCAGTTGGTAACTTTCTAAATTGTTCAGAGAACTGATTATTGGAAGAAATCTCCTTTTGTTTTTCCCCACTTTCCAGGGCTAATCCTGTAAGGAAAGCAGGAAGGAAACATTCTGGTGTTGTTTCTAGCCTAATCTTTATTGACCTGCTTACAGAAACTGCCTCTCCGGTTAACCCTTATTACATTGTAACAATGTAATAAGGGAAAGTGCCCATCGATGTGAGTGATGTTGAGTTGTCCATGCCCACCCAGTCACATGACCACT